ACCTGGATGTCTCATGTCTTACATATTCTGCAAGTTGTGCAAATGCAGGGATGAGAGTAGATATTCTGCTGGGGTGGGGTTGGGTTGGTGCCTTCGGACTCGGTGGGGCTCTGTGATGCTGCTGCTTTGAGCCCTGGCGAGATAGGTTGGGGTCTCCATGCCCTGGGGGCATTTTGGGAACAGAGGTGCCTATTGGGGTCAGTGGGAGAGCTGACTCCCTGGAGGGCTTAGGTCAACCAGCCATTCCTCCCCATCCCCACACATTTTTCTCCTCCTGCTCCTTCACCTCGTCACACAATCATGCGCATAGGATCTTGGGGGGTGGGCAAGTCAGCGGTGCCGGTATGGATCTCATTTCTGCATTCCTGTGGCAGCCTGCCCCACAATTTTATTTGCACATTAAATACTTTCACCAACGACATTCAACGCAAACACACACTTAGGGCCTTGGGAGGGAGCACACTCAACAGCATTTGGCAAGGGGATCTTTCAGCCTCATCCCGAGTGCCGGTGCCCACTTCCAATTTTAAACTGCACTTAGACACAAAGGGCTGGGGGGGCGGGGGGGGGGGGGGGGGGGGGGGGTTGTGTGGTTGTGTGGTTGTATCAGCTGGCATAGGCCAGACGATGCCTGCACTCCCCACTCACCACAGCCATGGATTACACCTCACCAACACGCACTAACACTGTATTGGAGCAGGCGGAGGGAGTCTAGGGGTCTTGGCACACCTCTGTTGTTGTTTGGCTTCCCGGGGCTGGAGACTAGAAGGGGGAGCTGGCCGTCTTGTTGGGGTCTGGGGTGGTGGGATGCTTTGCTCAGCATTGGGCGGGGGTGCCTGCTCATCATCAGCCCAGCAGAAAAGGGCGAACTCTGGGAACTTTGTGCAGCAGTACCAGGACCAGAGTGAATAGGGTGTGTATGGGGAGCATACGTGGGTGTCTAGCATTCATTTTTCTAAGTCTTAGATTGTATGCGTATTTGGGAGCATGACGGAGGGAGTGTGTGACTGTGTCAGTGTATGGCTGTACATGTCAGGAGGGGTCTTGGACTCCTCCCCTCTCCTCGAACTTCTTGTGCAACTACACATCTTCGCCTCCCCCTGCCACGTTTGGTGTGGAGTTTGGTGCCTTGGTCTGCCAGAGTGTTCGTGGCTCCTGGGTCAGGGGGTTTAAGATTTTTGGAGTCTGCCTGATCGATCCTGGTGGCAGCCTGGTGGGATCTGAGTCCCTGGGCTCTGTTGGGTCCCCGGCGGGGCTGGTTGCCCCTGGGTCCCGGGTCACTGGGTTCCGGGCTCGGCCGGCTAGGGTGGGAGGCTGTGGGCGGGTCTGTGGGCTTGCCGCTGATATCTCCCAGGACTCTGCCAGCTGCTGGTTGTGACCCCCCGGCGCAATCCTCTGTGCCTCTCGAGAGGGAGCCGGGGCTTTTCTGGTTACAGTCTCCCTGGGGTCCCTGCACTCTGGGACAGTTCCTGAGACTTGGAGTTCCCTCCATCTCCTACACATTTTTTTGGGGGGGTGGGGGTGGGGGTGGGGGGTAGATCTTTGGCCCCTCACATTCTCTATTGGATGCCCCTATAGAGAAATCTTACGTATACAAGCGCGGGTACGTACACAGGTGTTCACATGATGTTCTCTTAATTATGGACTTGGGCATGTTCAACACATGTCTTAAGGCTGTGGTTGGCACTAAATGCACTGTGATTTATTATCGTGTGATTGTTCAGTAGAACAATGTTGATTTTATATTTCCTCATCATGTTGATGTTTACTCTTGCTGTATTGATGCGTGTCCCCTTCTTTTTTCTCTCTCTCTTTCTGCAGGTCTAGAAGCAGACTCTTGTTCATCATTGATTGTTCATTTTGGCTACGACCACAGTTAACCCTCTGGAGGCAGGCGTTGCAGATTTGCAATGTTAAAATTTGAGCCTGAGAGGGTTAATGTTCAGATTTTGTTACTGGTGCAGATATTTACGTCCAACTAGCACTAAACCTGCGGTTAGAAGTCCTTGTGTAAATCTGAGTTATCAGAGTCCCAAAGATATAAAAAAAAACTTAAAGAAAAATACTCAACAAAATAAAGAAAGAAATGAATAATGCCTCAAATCAGTTTTGCCTATTTATGGTTATAAACATGGAGATCATCAAAGTCATCTAAGTCTTTGATAGTTGACTCACTGCGTGGATGAGTCACCATAGATTAGTATTGTATGGTTTCTGCTTCTCTTTTAGGGTAAAACATGTTTACTGATGCCTCTGTTTGTGTCATTTGTTTAGCTTCTGGAATTCAGCTGTGTTTATTCCAACCGTGCATGTTAGCCACTTCTGTTCTAACCAGAAAACCAGGATGCATTACAAGCTTCAGGTCAAATGTCTGTTTATTATCACAAAGCCGGGCTGTGATGTGAGGTTCCAGTAAACTAAATCAAATCTCATTTTGCGAGGAATTCCCTTACCTTCCTGAAACGGGCTGCGGAGGTCTACATACCCCACCATTATGTTAAGATCTGTTGATGTTTGTTGGGAAATTGTTTTCACTTTCAGCCCACAGGAGGTTCAGAGTTTAGTGTCAGTAACTTAACAGCAGAGTAGCACTTGATGGTTTTATTTATTGTTGGCTCAAGGGCCCTTTCAGCAGTGTCTTTAGGCCCTTAGTTCTGCACATTCCAGTTTAATTGTTGTATGGTCCTGGTACAAATATGCATCCAGCTTTTAAGACCGGTTTTCAACCTCAGGGGTCATATTTGGGATTGGTCTCTTAGACAAAAATAATAATTTTGCTACTTATTTGACACTTCGGAAGATAAAGTTTGAAAGTTTAGCCAGATGTAAGATTTTAAATAAGGGCTCAATAAGCTAGAAGACTAACATGTATGTATGTATGTATGTATGTATGTATGTATGTATGTATGTATGTATGTATGTATGTGAAAGTGGGTGTTCACCCTCCGTAACATGGGAGTGTTCCGTCCATCCAACATCCGTGGGGGTGGGGGAGGGTATATCCATGCGTGGGGTCCATGCCAGCAATGCCTGTTGGTGTGTCAGTTGATGGCTTACGGAGTAATCCATCACCCTTTTAGGCGAGTCGGGCTCCCCTTAGCTCCCTTGAGCTCCCCTTAGCTCCCCTGTAAGTTAAACCCTGAGTATTTCTACTTCATGCTTCTTCACTGGCACAAGAGTGAAAGAAATGGGGTCATTTTAACATCAAATCTCGTCTCCAGAGGCTGAAGCAGTGATTATTATTCAAAAAAGTAGCGGAAAACAAGAACACGTCCTGCTCTTCTCTTATTTATAAAACAATCTGCTGGCTGAGCAATAAAGTCAGACTTGCTCCAGCTTTCCCTCCGACACCCCTCCACCACCACCATCTTCTGCAGCCCCTTTTCTCAGATTCTGTATGTTTGGATTTTTCACAGTATTAAAAGAGTCGCTTTGTGGCCTCCATCCAAATGTTTTTTTCATCTCTTATTAATCCCGGCCCCCATGGTGCACATTTTTTAAGAATCTGGTGTTTGCAGCAGCTGTGTAACACGGAGCATGTATGTTTTTGTCTATTATAATTGATATATTCACACAGATTCCTAAACAGAACTGCAGAAGGGAACAACTTCATGTTAGCGGAGCTGACAATCCCTCTCAGAACTTTCAGATCTCATCTTGCACTTTCTCCTCAGGTGCTCTCTGTGCTTATGATATTTACTCTGTAAGGCATATGCACATCATTAAGAACTGAAAATACCTCCAGGCTTTTAGAGATGTCCCCAAATCCCACAGTGTGGCTCTCGGTAACGAGGCTGAACTTGTGTTTATGTTTTGAATATAGATTAGGCAGTTAAGCGTACCGATGGAGGAAGGATTAGAAAGGGCAGCTCAAAAAGACAGATGTCTGAATCTCTTTTTTTCTTTTTCTTTTTTCTGCATTAGGGTTCATTTTCATCTGCTTTTGATTAAAATCCAGCCCCACAGGGCCCGGCCAGGCCCATTCCATCACCCGCTCTGGGAGGAATTTGGTTAGATTTTTGCTGAAAGCAGCATTTTCCTTCACTCAGATTGCACCGAATGCCTCACCGCTAAGCACCTTAAAATAGATACTCAACATGGAGATTACATCTGAGTGTCAAGGAAGGACGACTAAACGATTTGGTTTCAAATACATTTACCTGTTTAGTATGTTTTCTGCCCATGTGTGCTGACATGACAGGACCAATGGAAATGTGGAGCAAAGCGTTGACCAATGTGGCTGAATTAAACACCATGATGTTATGATCTTGTATGCATAGTTCATATGATCTCAATTGATATTTTGAATTAAAAAGTGTTACACAAGTAGATTCCTAAATGTTCCCTGTCAGGACTGATGAGCTAATGGCTAGTGTGGGTGCATCCAAGTTGAAATTTGGCTGCTGTTTTTTTGACACTAGTAGGGAATAGGTTCATTTTATAAACATGCGGACCTATGTTACTTTAATGTTACACACTTATTTTGGCAGAAATATTAAGACTTTTCTACTGGATTTGACCCCTGGATTCCCCAGGTGTGCTTAATTTTACTCTCCCTGGTAAGAAGTCCATATAAATAACCAACTAATATAAAACTGAAAACCATATAAAGGTTAATAAATACATTTGAGTGAACCTCTGTTACGTTTAGCACTCTGGAGTTATTTCTAAGATGGCAGCAGTACGCTTTTTGTCTTGGCTGTGCTTGAACTTGGCCGTTGGCTACTCAGTTATGAAGAACGTAGCATCTATATTTTTCTAAATGGAGGCGATTCAAAAAGTTCCTACAAATAAGATATAAAAATACATCAAAATGATGAAATGTTTTTTGTCTAAACCAGATTTTTTGTCACTTAAAATTCTTGTTAAGAGTAATATAAACTCAAAAAGCGTTTCTATTGTCAATTTGAGATCATTTAAGGATGTTAACTGTCACGGTGCATATTTATTTATTATGTATTTATTCAGTTTATTGATTTTCTGTTTTGCCTAATCTCCAGGTTTACCTTCCCTGAGCGGAACAGGAACAGTCACGGTTCTGGTGGACGATGTTAATGACAACATCCCAGTTTTCACTTCCCCCACTTTCCACACAACCATAGCAGAGGACGCTCCAACAGGAACAGACGTGCTTTTGGTCAACAGTTCAGACACAGATGTGGGCATCAATGGTGTCATAAGGTATTGCAATATTCTGTTTTTGTAATTTTATGATCACTTAACACATTTTTTGAATTCCAGTCAATTATTTCTAAAATATGAGTAGAAGTAGAAAACTAAGTTGAAATTTGAGTTTTAGCCAAAAAACAACTGCTTATCATGCTAAAACTTATTTGATCTCACAATACTTTTGGGTTACTCTGTGCATTTGCAGTGTGAACTAGATTAGCCTTAATTTGGTAACGTTCTTTGAACATATTGTTTTACAACGGTAGAAGATTCTAGCTCACTTACCGCAAAATTCCACTACCTCCGCTCCGGCACGATCTTCGCAGCAAAAACGGTCCCGCTGTAGTCAATCAGAGCTATTCCACTACTGCGGCCGTTCCGCCATCCGGCAAAATAGGATCGATTCTGTTTTTGCCGGACGCCGGAGCACCTCCGCAGTCAATGGACAGAAATCACAACCGCCCAACAGGAAAGGGAGCAAGCACAACTTCCGCTATTTCACAATAAATCGATAAACAAAAGGCGTTTTTTGTTTCATATGCACAGGTTAAACAGCTTTTAACAACTATCAATGGCAGCTGAACTTTAAATGCACAAAAATAAGCCATAAATACAGTTTCTACTATCAAAGTAGTCACACTTTGTTGATCCAAACACTGCTGATCTCTCAACACAAATGATGGGCAGATTAAACAGTTCATGCCGATGCTTCTCCCACACAACGGGTGTTTGGATCTAACTTCCGCGTTTATTGCTCGGACTGTATCGCAAGATCTCGAAAATCCCGCGCATGCCTGTTTGCGCACCTCAGGTCTCCGCACCGGAGCGGAGCCGTTGTAGAGCGGGTAGCAGTAAAAAAAAAGAGTTCGGAAGCGACCGGCTGCGGAAGGTGGAGCGGAGGTAGTGGAATTTTGGGGTTATTCTCCAGCTTTCAAAATTTGTGACAAATACTCTGTTTACTGGTTTAATTTAAGAGTTGTATCTAAAGATTTAGTTTTGTGTGTTTTAGCTGTGAATTTAAAGCATTTTCAGCGATTTTTCACACTCGCAACTCCCTTCATGGGGGGTGCTTGTAAGAGCTTCTGGCCTGGTCTCTGTCAAGCCGGACGCTGACTCAGGTCCAACCCCTCCTCTTTCCTCTGTAACCCCACTGAGTACACATTGGGGGTACCACAGTGTGTTCCAGTTTCCAGAAACACAGTAATGAGGATGTTAATTGTCTATGACAGTACGAGATGTGCCCATCAGGGGGTCCGTGGCCCCTAATGGAGTCCAGAGCCGGTTACCTTCAGTTATTAGTTTTAATTTTCACAACGCATTAAATCCCAAACATGGACTTGTTTCTGCATTTTCTTCTGACCACAAACATCTGTGCACAGTTTATACTGGTGATGATGTCCAAATACGTTTTTGGGTCCACGCTGCTGGAAACACACGCCTCTCCAGAGATGGACGACAAATCACAGAACAGAATGTGCATGTGCTTGTGTGTGCGTGTGTGCGCGTGTGTGTGTGTGTGTGTGTGTGTGTGTGTGTGTGTGTGTGTGTGTGTGTGTGTGTGTGTGTGTGTGTGTGTGTGTGTGTGTGCTTACATGTAAGTCTGAAGTCCTGCTGGACTGATGAAGAACAGGATGAAATGTGAGATTTGTTTGAAAGCAAATGAGAGTCGGCCCTCTCAGCCCTAATCAGTGTTATCTTACTTTTGTACCCGGCCGTAGTGCAACTCTACTGTGAATATTTGACCTAAATTATTTAGGTTTTTAATTAATCTATAATAATTAATAACCCTGTCATAAGTTTAGTACAATAAACAAATCATTATGGACTTTAGAGAAGACAAATTAGCAGTATGTGTTTTTAATTAAACTGGTTTCACATTTTGTCAATGACCTGATGTCTTCTGTGTAAAATAAAATCATGTCTTCACTTCACTTCATCACTGATCAGGATTTTAGTGTTGGAGCAAACCTGAAAACAGTGCCCTCTATAGACTAAACTATGAAGATTCTCATCAGTCAGTTGTAGATTTATGATTTTTGAGTACAGATTTTATTTATACAGGTACCTCACAAATAAAGCAGAAAAGGCACTCAGTAGTACTTAATATAACACAAGTTATGTAAATTATTGTCAAGGAAGTGGAGTTATTGTCTAGGAAATTGTGCTTTTTCTGTTTTGATCAAACAGCAAATGTGAAAAATCTCAGTTTAAACGTGTTCTTTGTGTTTCCTACAGTTACAGCTTGAGCGGGGGACATGGCCAGTTCTCGATCAACCCAGCCACAGGACAGATTATCACTAGCTCCCTGCTGGACCGAGAGGAAAGGGCCAATTACCAGCTGCTGGTTGTTGCAACAGATGGAGGGCAGCCTGAGGGCTTGTCCAGTTCAGCCACGGTGTCTGTGACGGTGTCCGACATCAATGACAACCCGCCACGCTTCCATCACCACCCGTATGTCACTCATATCCCTGCCTCCACTGCAGCAGGTTAGTAGCCACTTTTTAAAGATCACCTTTTTTAGACCTAATAATTTATAAGTTTTTTAATTAAGCTTTGCTTGATCAATAATGTCCTTTATTATGACAGGATTTACATTCAGGAATCTCAATATTAGTCCTTGATAAGTCCCAAGTGTGTAAATATTTTCTATGAGAGGTTCTTAAATTACATTTAGTTAACTCTCTAATTAGTTTTCATATAATTGTTTTCTCTTTTTTGAGAAATGTGCATTTTTCTAGTTATAAAAATATTGAATGACTAGATTTTTAGCAAATGTTAGGTCCTGCATTTGAAAATAAATTAAAAACTTGCTAAATGAAACTTTTACATTGAGTACGAAAAAATTGCTTTGATGCCGTTAGGTCCTGCATTTGAAAATAAATTAAAAACTTGCTAAATGAAACTTTTACATTGAGTACGAAAAAATTGCTTTGATGCCTTTTTGTGATTACAGGTTCCTTGGTTTTCGCTGTCACTGTCACCGATGAGGACTCAGGTTCAAATGCCCAGCTGCACTATTCCCTGATGGGGCGTAACTCGGAGAAATTCAAGATTGACCCAGTGAGAGGTGCCATTATCGCCAACGAGAGGTTGACTGGAAGTTCCGAAGTTACCCTCACAGTTCAAGTTAAAGATAGTGGTTCTAACCCCAAAACGGACATGACAACGGTGACTGTTCGATTTGTTACTGGAGGAAACTTTCCTGTCATCAAGCTGAAGGAGCGCAGCTTCACATTTCCAGAGAATCAGCCCAACAACCACATAGTTACAACAGTGATGGGGTCTTCAAGGAGGGGTGGACCATTGTCGTATTACATTGCAAGTGGCAATCTGGATAATGCCTTTCATATAGACCAGCTCTCAGGGGAGTTATCCATCAGACATCCTCTGGATTATGAGCACATTCAGAAATACGTTCTGTGGGTTGAAGCCAGAGACCAAGGCTTCCCACCTTATTCCTCCTATGAGAAACTGGAAATAACTTTGCTTGATGTTAACGACAATCACCCAGTGTTTGATAAAGATCCATTTCATGCTGACATCCTGGAGAATCTCTCACCTCAGCGTGTGCTGATAGTCTCTGCCATTGATCTTGACAGCGGCCCTAATGGACAACTGGAATATGCCCTCATTGATGGCAACAAAGAAAACAGTTTTAGTATCAATCGAGCTACTGGTGAAATACGAACCACTAGGCCATTGGACCGAGAGAAGGTGGCACTGTACACTTTGAAAGTAAAAGCCACTGACCGGGGCTCGCCACCCAAAAACACAGTAGTGAAAGTTCTAATCAAGGTTTTAGATCTGAATGATAACGCTCCACGGTTTTCCAAGATATTTAGTGCTACAGTGGCTGAAAATGCTCCTGTTGGCTACACTGTCACCAGAGTCACCACCACAGACGAGGATGCTGGTTCAAATGCTATTAGTCGATATTCAATTACAGATACCAGCCTTCCGTTCAGTATTAACGCAAACACAGGATACATAACAATCAGCAGGCCACTCAATAGAGAGGACACCAATCACTACATTGTCAAAGTGACTGCACATGACTCTGGCTGGACAGTAAGCACAGATGTCACCATTTTTATAACAGATATTAATGATAATGCCCCAAGATTCAGTCGCCCTTCTTACTATCTGGACTACCCAGAGCTCACTGAGGTGGGCTCCCTGGTCACACAGGTGTCTGCCACTGATCCGGACGAGGGTGTCAATGGCAAAATTTTCTATTTCATCCGATCCCAGTCAGAATATTTTAGAATCAACTCCAGCACAGGAGAGGTTTTTGTGAAGCAGCAGTTGAAATATCAAAATTCCACTGGTGCTGGTAGTTTGAATATAAATCGCCACAGCTTCATTGTCACAGCCTCAGATCGAGCAGTTAAGCCTTTGATGAGCGAGACAACGGTGATTGTAAACATTGTGGACAGCAACGACAACCCACCTGAGTTTGACTCACCTAGCTACTTCACTCCAGTCACTAAAAGTGTCAAAGTTGGCACCAGACTGATCAGAGTTGTAGCACAAGATAAAAAAGACTTTGGCCTTAATTCTGAAGTTGAGTACCAAATAATAGGAGGAAATAGTTCAGGTAAATTTAGATTGGATAAAACAAGCGGATGGATTACTGTTGCCTCTTCCCTCATGTCTGATATAAATAAAATGTACCTCATTGACCTCTCTGCAAGTGACGGAGGAAATCCTCCTCTTTCAGCCAAAACAACACTGAGAATTGCAGTCACAGAGGAAAACCACCACACGCCTGAGTTCTCACAAAGCCAAATCTCAGCCACCGTACCTGAAAGCCTTGCTGTTGGAACAGCAATAAGGACCCTTTCTGCCAGAGACAAAGATAAAGAAATGAATGGCCTTATCACTTACAATATAACTTCAGGCAATGAGAAAGGTTTGTTTGCACTTAACAGTAAAACCGGAGTGTTGACATTAGCTCAACCATTAGACTTTGAAGAGAAGCAGCAACATGAGCTCAGAGTTTCTGCCACTGATGGTGGTTGGATTTCAAAAACCAGCCATGTCTCTGTCACAGTACATGTCACAGATGTGAACGACAACTCTCCTGTTTTTGATCCTGATGAGTTCTTCCCCGATGTACAAGAAAACGTTCCCAGTGGTACAACAGTGCTCAAAATGAATGCCACAGACCACGATTCAGGGGCAAATGCAGTCATGGCCTATGTGATTCAGTCCTCAGACAGCGACCTCTTTGTTATTGACCCAAACACAGGCACCATCACCACCCAGGGCTTCTTGGATTATGAAGCCAAGCAGGTCTACCATTTAACAGTTAAGGCCTTCAATGTCCCAGACGAAGAGCGTTGCAGCTTCGCCAATGTCAACATTCAGCTGAAGGGAGCCAATGAATATGTTCCCCGCTTTGTCTCCAAACAGTACTACTTTGAAATCTCTGAAGCTGCTCCAAAAGGCACAGTTGTCGGGGAAGTATTTGCTAGTGATCGAGACCAAGGAGACGATGGAGTGGTTTACTACCTCATTTTTGGAAAGAGCAGAAAGAAAGGCTTTAGCATCAACAAGAAAAGTGGTCAGATTTATGTCACAGGTACTTTAGACCGTGAGAAAGAAGAAAAAATTTCTCTGAAGGTGCTGGCAAAGAACGCAGGAAGCATCCATGGAGCAGATATCGATGAAGTGTTTGTCAATATAACTATTCTTGATGCCAATGATCCTCCTGTTTTTACCCAAGATCTGTATGACGTGCACGTCAGTGAAGGTCTGTCACCTGGTGGTCTCGTTACATTTGTAAGTGCTGAAGACTCGGATTCAGTCCCCAGCTGGAGCAGGTTTTCTTACTCCATTGTTCCTCAAATTGATAAAAACATTTTTACGATAAATCCAAAAACTGGTCAGGTCTCTGTGGCTGCAGAGCTGGACAGAGAAACAACACCTGTGTATAATCTGACTGTTCTTGCCGTTGATACTGGTACACCTCCTGCCACTGGAAGCACCACTGTCATTGTGAATCTGGAAGATATTAATGATAATGGTCCAACGCTGACAACCACCTATGCTGAGGTGATGGAGAACCAGAGAGCTGGTTCAGCAGTTGCAACACTGTCTGCCTCAGACCCAGATCTAGCCCCCAACCAAGGTCCTTTCTTATACAGCCTCCTGAGTTCTGGTTCTGCAAACAGCTACTTCAGCCTCAGTTCATCTGGGGTGTTGACCACCAGCCGGGAGATAGACAGAGAGCAGATTAGTGACTACTACCTCTATGTTGTGATTAAAGACTCTGGTGTGCCTCAGATGTCCTCCACTGGAACAATTCACATCAAAATAAATGATCAGAATGACAACCCTTCGGAGCCACGTTCCATGGAAATCTTTGTCTTCTACTTTGGAAACACCTTTCCTGGAGGTTCTCTGGGAGATGTTAAACCACAAGATCCTGACATTCATGACAGGTTCCACTGCTCCCTCATTCCTCCGTCATCTGGGCTGTTTACTATCCCAACAGGAACCTGCAACCTCAATTCCAAAGCACGCTCAACAGATGGAACTTTTGACATAATCATTCGCAGCAGTGATGGTGTCCATGGTTCAGTTAGCAATACAGCCAGAGTTGTTTTCATGAGCTTCAACAATGCCACTGTGGATAACAGCATACTCATCCGGCTCCAGTCTGAAGGAGTCAAAAGCTTCCTCACTAACCACTACCTCAGCTTCTTACGAATTGCCAACTCTCAGCTTGCAGGACTAGGCACAGGGGTGCTGCTTTATGGAGTGTTTGAGCTCAACAATCAGACTTTTCTCGTGGCAGCTGTGAAACGGGGCCATGGACAATATGTGAGCCCTAGTGGCGTAGCCACATTCTTCCAGAGTATCAAAGACATTTTACATAGACAGAGCGGGGTGCAAATAGATGCGGTGGACCATGATCCATGCATGCATAACCCGTGCCAGAATGGAGGCAGCTGCAAGCGGCGTCTCAGTGTCGGGCCTGATATGAAGACAGAAGAAAGTGTCCCTGTGATCCTTGTTTCCAACTACCCCCTGCAGCCGTATGCTTGTAGCTGCAGGCCAGGATATGCAGGAGCTCTGTGCGAGACAGACATCGACGAGTGCCAGCCATCACCCTGCCACAATGGTGGCACCTGCCACAATCTAGTGGGGGGTTTCTCCTGCACCTGTCCTGAGGGTTTCACTGGGATGGCCTGCGAGAGGGATATCAATGAATGCCTTTCCAATCCCTGCAAGAATGGGGCGCTGTGCCAGAATTTTCCTGGGGGCTTCAACTGTCTCTGTAAATCTGGATTTGCAGGTACGCAGAAGTCATATTTTATATTTGTCTGCACGGTCATTCCAAAAAGGCTTGGAAAAATGAAGTCAGGGTACACACAGATAATAAGTAACATGGTCCCACACACAAGCGTTGGTCCAATAAAAATATTTTCTGCCAAAGACGGGTTTTTTTTTTTTGGGTTGCTAGTTGAGAGTATCAGCTGTGATGCAAATGATCATTCGGTTTTATCGATGACCTTAACCCTTTGATGCATGAATTATGAAATTTTCAACCATGATTTTTGCAAACAATTTTTTTTCATTCATCTTTAGGTGTGAATGAAACTAATTTCAACACATTTTTTGTAACATTTAATAATTTACAAATAATTTATTACATGTCCACCTCAGTGGACAGCGTGCATTCTGAACATGAAATATGGTGGCTTGACCTACTGAAGTCCAAATGGAGGGGCTCAAATGCAGTAAAGTCTTCAACAGCTGTGCTTAATAGCAAAAAAAAAAAAAAAAAAAACTATTTTGAGTACCTGTCCAGTGTAGTGACCATTATGCATCAAAGGGTTAATCAGGAGACAGGTCTTCATTATCCACAAATTGCACCAATGTCCCATTATCTTGTGTTTTTATGCACATGCAGCTTTAACCACACACAGAAACATTTCTAATCCAGTACAGAGTTTCTCATTCGGCTATGTTTTGTCTGATTTGACAAATGAGCAGCTTTATAAAAGATCCAGTCAGACCTTTTAATTTGGAAATCTAATGAATATGGTGCATTATTGGCCCTGATAAAGGGAAGTGGATTTTAATGGGAGCTACTTAGAACAATCATTTGGATCCTGCACAATAATCCAGCTCTGGCTGCAGCATCTGAAAGACATTTTGAAAGAAGGCCGTATCGGGCAGTTTGCCTGTAGCCGAGTCATTACTGTCCCTTTTATTATGACGATAAAAATGGTCACAAATCTTTAGGATTTTATCAAGATGGATTACCCTCTTGCAGAAATGCACCTTTTGACTTACAGTAGTTTGTGTGCCCTCATGTTGAACTCTTAGCTTCCTGTTTTCCACAACTGCTGTTTGGCAGCCAAATCCATCTTCATTAAGCAACTTGTCTCTGGATTTACAGCGTTAAATGGACTTCTGAAGTTCATTGTCAGTTTGTTTCTGTTGCACCATGTGCCTTTTACGATTTATGTCTACTGTATTTATCATTTTTACATTCCTTATCAAGATGTTAAAGCTGTCAGTTTATTTGAGTTTTCATGCATGTGTGGCAGCCATTCATACACAGTTCAGCTATTGTGCACTGCAAAGAAAAGAAAGAAAAAGAAAAGGCAACGCGACCTTGCAGTACGTTTGAAAGCATGATTATTCTTTCAGATGAATCAGCCAATTGAATGAGATCATCTTTTTTTCTAAAAAGTTTCAAGATGTTGTGGATAAAATTACATCATCTTGGACACGTCTTGTGCATTTTAAAAAGCACCAAACACTTGAACTTAAAGCTTCCTGTATTGTATTATATGGTTCTTTTACTGTGCTTGTAAGGTTGATTATACGTTTTTTTATTTTTTATTTTTTTGTATTCATTTTTTTTGCAGTGTATATCTCAGCTGTGATGTTTTTAAAAGTCCTGCATGGAAGTGATCTGTGTTCCCTTCGGGGTTTCTGTGCGTTGTCTGCCACCCCATCCATTTTGATTTGTGTTGTTCTGTGAACTCAGGCAAAACGTGTGATTCCATCATCAATCACTGTGAGTGTAACCCTTGTTTTAATGGCGGTTCCTGTCAGAATCGGGTGGATGGATATTACTGTCATTGTCCATTTGGTAAGTAATTACTGGAAGAGTACTGGGTATTAAAGAAGCCTGGTAATTTTTAAAGCACAGAGGATAATTCTACTTTAAAACGGGGGAGGAAAAAAACAGTTCCAGTCCTAAACTATAATTTCATAAACAAATGTCACTGACATATCATTTTGTCCCTCTTTTTTGCAGTATTTAAAAAATGATGGGTGTGTGTTGAAGATTAAATTAGGAGATTAAAGACTTGGCTTCCCTTGAGAAAGTCATTTCACCCACCACCTTTCATGCCAAAGCTTTAAAATATCTTACATCCTGAAATGATTTTGCTGTAGCACTTTTGGTCAAAACTGTAAAAAGAGAGAGAGAGATGTTTGATCTCACACAATACTTTGTGTGATAATTTAACATTTCTTTTCCTTTCTGGGAAATGTATTAAAATCTGTCCAATGGTTTATGAAATAACTTGATTCTAATTATTAGTAAAGTTTTAAAGAGCAGGTTCACTAAGAAAACATTTTTTACTTATCATTTAGAAAATGATCAATCACTCTGAGTTTTTTATGCAGGCTGAACATGAAAATAGTCTCCTACACCTATCTCCTGCATTAGCTTCTGATAGAAAATAGATGGAAAAACGGTTGGGTCAGAAAAGCCTGACAGATCTTTGTCACACTGTTGCATCTCAGGTAGTAGAAGTTAAATGTTAGCATTAACAACTCCACCACACAGCAGAACTCCTTCAGGCTGGTGTTATTTCAGGAGATATGCAGAACAAACAAAGTCAGTGATAGAGTTGCATTGATGTTAGCCAATCAGAGGTGAGATACTTTCCAAATATTAGGAACTAAGACACCAAATCCTGTCATCTGAAGCTACTTTCTCTTCTAGCTCATTTCTATGTACTCAAACAGGCCCATCTGAGTTTTTTTCCCCAGAGTATGACTTACAAGGCATTAATTCCTACTAGAGACCACTGCAAATGTATTAAAAATAAGAGTAAAGCTGACCTTTAAGGAAACATGACGTGCTGATGCTCAGAGTATGCATGAGAGGTGGCTCCCAGCAACTGCGACATCAAATATTAGAGTTAGTATCATCTGTAAAATAAGGGAGACATTTTTTATTTTACCAAGTTTTATTATTCTACAATTGCAAATTTTCACATAAACTGAACATTTAATCTTCATCACAACATATCCTGATGCATTCACTGGCTCCCTCTGATTTGTTGTTTGGTTTTCTTTGTCTTCAGGGGTTTTCGGCAAACACTGCGAGCTAAACAGCTACGGTTTTGAGGAGCTCTCATACATGGAGTTTCCCTCTCTGGATCCCAACAATAACTACATTTACATCAAGTTTGCTACCCTTAAAAGCAATGCACTGCTGATGTACAACCACGATAATCAAACTGGCGACAAGGCGGAGTTCTTGGCTTTGGAAGTCATCGAGGGACGGCTGTGCTTCTCGTTTAACCTGGGCAGTGGAACGTATAAACTGATGACAATGATAAAAGTTTCAGACGGGCAGTTCCACACTGTGATCGCCAGGAGAGCTGGGATGGTAAGATGTTTAAGAAATTAGTTCACATGTTGACAGTTTTCCATCTTGAATTATGCTGAATTTAATGCCTTATTAGTTTTTATGGTTCTAGTTGCAGAATGTGTAAGGGATTAATGCCTTGCTCCTTAAATACTGAAACCTGCATCCGCATTTCTGTTCTCGTACCATCAGATGATGAATGCATTCTCAAACTGCTGGTAACTCAGCTTATGGGTTTAATGATACTTTACTGCATGCCAGGATCCAAAATGCCCTGAAATATAAAATTGTGTCTCCTTTACTTTAAATGAGAAGCTTTTCCATGCCAGCAGCACAATGGCATTGAAAGAGGAAAAAAGTAAAGTCCAGCTAGGCCCCGTCAAATCGCTTGTAATGCCGCTCTCCTGCTGGACTTCAAATCTGTCATTTCCCGCCGAGCAGCGGGCTTTCACAGGAAACTGGTAAAATCATTAAATTGTCAGTTTTGAAATTCTGGGGTGGAAAGGAATACAGCACTTATTGAGAGCACCTAGTGTTCTGTGAATATTGAGGTGGCTGAGTTTGAGCTCTTGAAGTGTGAATAAGAAATGTCTGAGTCGACTCCTGCGAGCGCTGTAAAGCGAACCTGATCACCGTGTTGGCAAAAGCTGGTGTGGTCCATTTTGGTGGTCAGGTTTGAGGTCAGTTCCCAGTTCCTGTGCCTGAGTTATGAGCCAGTCTCAAAAACCACGGACAGACATGCACTGCGTCTGCATGAGGTAATAGGAAGGAGCACAGAGTTCATCAAAGATACGTCATCATCTTTGGAGGTTGATTTTTCATCAGAAACAATAAATGTCACTAAACTAGTTCAGTGAAATTTGGAACACAAAACTTGTCTGAACAAGGAAATTAAGCAAGTGAAGATATATAGACACAGATTACCATTTAGTTTCACTCTGAGCTGATTTGAAAATGCAAACCTTAATAATATCAGTCAAGTGCATTTTTAATAATCTGTGCATCGTGTGTTTTTCTGTCTCTACCTGTAAATGTGCCATTGGAGAATAAAAACAGAATTAAGGAGAGGAGAGCAGTTAACGCAGTTACTATGGGCGACTTTTTGCAGACACTAAATTTCCAAGAAAATTTTAAATGTCTTCGTGATTTTGTGCTTGTGTGTATCAACATGGGAAATAAATTGTGGCATTCATTCTTATATATATTAATGTAGTCACAAAAGATATTTATGTTCTTGCAAATGTTTAAAATGTTCATATACTGTCTCTAATAAGTCACAATTTAGTTCCATAGGTCCCCAAGCGTTCCCAAAATTGTCTTGCATTTAGTGACTGAAAACCAAAGTCAGTGTCTCAGTGGGTTGCACCTACCTGTTGATGGGCTAATGTGCATGACAGATATTCAAAGTCCCTGTGAACTCCTTCTATCCGTCTAGAATCTTTCTCAATTTAAATTCAGTGAACCAGACAGTCCTAGAATGATGAGAACACTTTGGGAGGAGTTAGCAATCAGATTGAGAATAAAATGAGTATAATCTGTGATCAATTTGAGACACAAACCACTTTGTGACAAAACTAACAAGGAAATTACATCCTCGGTTCCATGTGACCTGGCCATAAACAACAACAAAACAAAAAACAACAATTAATTCACAAATAACATTGTTAGAAGTATGTCCCACACACCAATTCACAGCTATGTCAGGTGACATTTTACTGTTTTTATTGACATTTTATGTTGCAGCCCATGGAGATATGATAATAAAATAGTTTTAGGATACACTGTCTTGGGATACACTGGCTTTTGTATTACTAAAAAGTACTTCAGGAATACGCAAATATGGATGAAATTAGGCCGAAATCAATTAGCTGGATCAGTTGAAAGAAAATGACAGAAAACCAGTGATGAAAGCCAAGTCAGTTTGTTTTGAGTCACAAGACAAACTAAAGTCTTCTGTGAAGTCAGTCTGCAAATATATTTGACAGTTTAGTTTGTCTGTTGTTGCTCAGTGCCAACAGCCAATCATCAAGCTTTTGATTTGTACCAAACAGGCATGGAACAAACGCAGAACATCGGTTAGTCAGCCTGCACAGAGAAACAGAAAGCAACACTGCGGTCCATCCGTTGGAGAAGAATAATGATCTCCATCAGTACTTTTCTTCAGTGTTAGTAGAACACATGAAAAACACATTTTCATGTTGCATTTGGTCCTAATTTATCAATGTTTCTTGTGATATTTGTTTACCTTTTCATAATGTGAGATCTTTGTTAGTCATTGGAAGGAAAGTTAGGACTGAATGAGTGCAAGTGGGTCTGAAATGTTCAAGATACTGTATGGCTCTAGTGTATTTTTGGTATATTTATAGCTTTGTATCTACATGCATTTGACAGAATAGACGTGTGTGTGTGTGTGTGTGTGTGTGTGTGTGTGTGTGTGTGTGTGTGTGTGTGTGTGTGTGTGTGTGTGTGTGTGTGTGTGTGTGTGTGTGTGTGTGTGTGTGTGTGTGTGTGTGTCAGCAGGGTCGTGCTCTCCTGGATGATTTGTGTCAGAGATCCGGGCCAGTGTGGTCCGTGTTTACTTAAACTCCAGGAGAGGTGGAGCGTGATTGCTCCGGTTTTTCAACACTCTCACACACTTTTCCGGACGGTTTCCTCACCAGCCCATTTCTTTTCTTCCTCGTGGTTTCGTTCTCTCAGAGCGCAAAAACGAGAGACGACAGGCCCACATCTGGACAAATGCTTTAGTGCCACAAACGGGAAGCAGGACACTTTTCCTGTAATGTCTGGCATGTCTGCGTCACTTCTTTATCAAATTTGACAGAAAAATGAAAAATATTTTGTCTACACATGGACATAGCTCGTAGTAAATACACTTTTAGTTTTTATCCATTTTTATCAAGTTGCATTTATTTCAATCTTTGTGAAATTGGAACAAAAAACATATTTTTCACTATTTACCGGATAAAGTTAAAGTCCAGCTTTAAAGTAAATAGATATTTTACTTTGATTGAGATAAAACTGACATTCTATCAATCTACATCCCTTAAAGGGACATTCCACCCAAAATAGATTTTTTGTCTGTTGACTTACTTCCCAGCGTTAGACAAGTGGGAACAAACAAAATTTTGCCAGCCCAGACATTCTCCTGACCCAGCTGTACTCCTTTAGCTTTAGCTTAGCATAAAACACTGAACGTTAAGGGATCCAACTAGCATTGTGACTTAAAAGTCCTTATAATCACTCAGTAGTGATCCCAGTTCTGCTTGGTGACCTAAATAGGCTGATTGCAAGTGAAAATAATTAGTAAGATAAAGACTTGGACTACTTTATGACAAAGCACAGCTGTAAGCCTCCGCTGGCAGCCCCAAAGACACCTGCTTCTGTAAACACAGATGCACATGTTCTGCAAACTGGCATAAAATACACACACACACACACACACACACACACGAGCTCCAATCACCCCTGTGCAAATGTGATGTGCTTTGTTTTTGCTCCTGTTATCATTGTTTATGTTTGTGTGTGTGTGTTGCATGAAATTTTTTTTTAAGCTGGCAGAGATGCAGTATTTATTGGGCTGGTCAAAATAGATTTTTTCCCACTTATCTAACTCTGGTAAAAAATGCCAGACAAAATTACAACTTTGGGTGGACTATCCCTTTAAATCGCAGAAGCAAGATGGCACACAGTGTTTGATATTCTACACCAGGGCTATTCAATACCAGGCCTCGAGGACCAGTATCCAGCACATTTGGTTTTAACAAGGCTTCAGCACACCTGATTTCAATTAGCAGGTGATTAACAGAGCCTGATGAGCTGCTGCACAGGTGGTTCAACCACTGAATCTAGTGTGTTGGAGTAGAGGAACCAGTAGAACGTGCTGGATACCGGCCCTCGAGGCCTGGAATTGAATGCCCCTGCTCTACATGTACCTCTCTCTTCAAATACTCAGTTTGTCCTCTGGGTGGCTAATTTCATGATGAATCTGTCAATTATTTTTAACTCATTAACTGTCATTTCCCGATCAGAAAGCCCCTGGCTGCCAGCATTTTGGAGCGTTTTTACTGTTTTTTGAAGAGTCACAGAACATTGTGCTCTATGATGTCAACGCCAAAGCTACCAAAAGAAAGAGTAGACTCACTTCTTACATCAGGATGAATTTGCATGTTTCTGGCGTTATTCATTCTTTCATAATCTGTTGTTGAATTGTGAGCTGCAGAAGCAGTTCCGGTTCGCGCCTCGCTTTTTTCACAGCAGCGGTCCAAAACGATCTCCTAGTTCATGGATTTTCTGCTTCCTGATCATGTGACGTGTGATATATACGTGGATGAAGGTCAGCTTTAGAGCCGTGGCATTTATTATCACGGTGTGGAGGCTTGTTCTGTCGCCCACCCCGTAAAAAAATGCAATTGACGACTTAAGTCGTCACTGGCAGCGAGTGGTTGAATTTAAAATGACGGCTTTAGTTGTCACTGGCAGTAAATGAGTTAAATATAATTTAGTTTAAAAAATGTATTTTATTCAATGAAGTGGTTTATTGTAATTATGGGTTAAATATATGCTTGTCTCAGCCAGCCACACTCCAAGGTTTTTTTTTTTTAGGGTTTTTTGGTGGTGGGGGTGGTGGGGTGGGGTTGGGGTTGGGGTTGGGGCTTGGGGGTGGTGGGGTGGGGTTGGGGTTGGGGCTTGGGGGTGGTGGGGTGGGGGTGGGGGGTGGGGGGGGGGGGGTTGAAAAAAAAACACAAACAGTACAGGAGTAGTTTTTTTTCCTCACCAACTCAGAGATAAATAACCATGTAGTCATGAGATTCTGATACCTTGGATAACACATTAAATGTGTATTTAGTGAGTCATGTTGAAAGTCATACACCATTAAGGATCATTATGATATTTTTATTAGCTTGTAAAAACAAGAAATGTAACTGCGCAAAATGGTGAATTTACCTCCAACCAGTTTATATTTGGGTATCTGTTAGATACACCCTATAAATCCTGCAGAGGTCTGGAGGTCCCAGCTGACCCTAGTATTAAGGGAGACACCCCAATCAGATCATCAGTCCATCAGAGTCCACAGAAACAACTGCTCACGTTCACTCCTACAACCAGGTCAGAGTCGACAGTAAACTTAGCATGCAGGTTTTACAGGAACTGACACCCAAGTCTCAAATAAACATTTCTTTCTACTTGTTGTTGTGAGGAAATTTAACTTGATTTTAAAGAAAAGACTGATGTGGATGTGCAGTTTATTTTAATTTTGGTGAAGGATGGTCTTTTTGAAGCAGTTTGACTCATGTCATCTTACAGGCTGCATCTCTGACTGTGGACCTGTGTGGTGAGGACCAGGAGCCAGGTTACTGCGCTGTGAGCAACGTGGCAGTTCACACGGACTGGTAGGACTCACTCATACACACACACACACACACACACACACACACACACACACACACACACACACACACACACACGTTTGTCTGTCTTAGTGAGGACCATCTATTGACTTCCATTCATTTCTGTGACTGCATTGTGCCTAACCCATACCCTAACCCTGACCTAATCTAAAACTTAATTGACACCATACCTCTAAAACCAACTGGTAAGTTTTTACAAAAAGTGAGGGACACAAAAATGTCCTCACTTTTGAAAAAGGTCCTCTCACTGTTGATTAAAACCTCACAATGGTTCTCAGTAGGTAGTCAGTACAAGAACACACACACACACTCACTCAAACCTTAACTGCATCCTGTTTTTATATCAAGTCTGCGTATGTTAAAAAAACCTTTCTCTGAGTGACATGGATTTATCAATATGTTTATCAGTAACCCATTTCCTATAGTCGGAGAGAAAAAGGAGACAATGAACAACAAGTCAAACAGTTATAACTGTGGCAAGATGCACGAGGCAAAGTGCACCGAACATCCGGTCACAGAGTTTATTTATAGAGAGATGGGAGTGGAGAAAGAGAGATTGTGTCTGTGTGTCAAGAACGTGTGTGTGTGTGTGTGTGTGTGCGTGTGTCTTGTGTGGGTGTGTCTGAATAAGTGAGCATGCAGAGAGGCATAGAGCAATACATTTACATTCAGTTGATTGAGTCCATGATCAAGAATTAATAAACATACATTCTTCCATAACACTGAGAAAGGTTAACAAAAAGTCATGTTTGAAAACTTTAAACTTGACTGAATTTCTGTGCTTTTCCTTGATGTTTGTGTAGGATCCTGGACGTGCAGCCCAACAGGCTCTCGGTCGGAGGTGTCTGGTCAATAGAACCTGTCCTTCATCGCCGCGGTCAGATTGCCACCCACGACTTTGTCGGCTGTATCATGGAGCTTGCTGTAAATGGACGCCCGCTGGAACCCAGTCAGGCGCTGGCATCGCGGGGAATCCTTGACAGGTCTGCAGCGCCCACCCGCCATCAGACTCTCTCCATCTCTTCCCTCATCTGTCCATCTTGTCTAACCTTCTCCACTCCCGCTGCGGGACATCTGTTCACACTTTTAGACCCTCTCAGTTGTTTCTAAAGAGATGTTTTTTTTTTACCTACAATCGGCAGACTTTTGACAAGGGAAACGACTGCTGGATTCCAGAGAATTTCCATCTGACTTGAATAGCAAGGCAGAGACAGGTCTATTGTTATGCTAATTCTTCAGCTTTCTTCATGAGGTTTATATTGGTGCACTTGGAGACAAATCAAAGCTCATCTGCCCCTGTTTTTATAGCTTCTTTTTTATTTAGACCCCCGGGTTTCTTTGGTGTGAGGCTGACTTGTTCAACTGTCCATCTGATCGTCAGTTTGTGTGTCCTTGTGTCTCTAGATGCCCGAGACTGGAAGGAGCCTGCACCTCCAGCCCCTGTAGACATGGAGGAACCTGTTTGGACCATTGGTCATGGCAGCAGTGTCAGTGTGTGGACGGCTTTACTGGCAAATTCTGTGAGAAGTGTGAGTATCTGTTTTTGAAGTGACTTTTCTTGATGAGGCTGCACTTACAGAAGAATATTCTACCATAATTTATACCCTGTCCCGCCTGGTTTATGAAAATGCATGATGAAGTCTAAAATAGGCCACATCACTGACTTTCGTCTCAAGGCGTTTCACTACGTAAGTTACCAGACTCGATGTGAAGGAGCTAAAAAAAAAGACAGAATCTTCTGAGGCTGATGAAAAAAGGGCCAAAGAGTTACAGATAAAGTGTGAATACAACAGTGTGTGTGTGGAGGTATTACCACTGCTTGAAGTGGAAGAAAACAAGTGCCGGTACTCCCCTTCGAAAAATATTGTATCTGTATCACCTAGTGGGCTAACGTCTGACTGGCAAGAAAAGGAAACCAGCATACAGAAAGTCTGGAAAATAAAAATAAACGTAGGCATGTTGAATGTAGGCAAGTAAATGTAGTAATGTAGACTTTGTGAATTTATTATAATTTTTATATTTAACTGTGTGACTATTTATCAATTTCCAAAACAATAAAGATAAATAACAGAAAGCTCAATTAGTCATTTTATATTTAGTCCTTATGCATTTTGTTTGGAGAATAATCTGTACTTGCAGAAACGTTTGCAAGTGCAGATTATGTTCAATTCGATGCTTTGTTTGGAGATTATTTGACCTTTTTTTGTCTTTGTTAGCTCATAAATTTTAAAGAAAGTTGTTTTTCATACATATTATGGTAAATTAGAGCCAGATGTATTTTTAGCCTATTTTTTCTGCCTATCACAACTAAAAGTACAGATTAAATACAGCTAATGTGACTATGTCCTCCTGTACATAATAGAAGCAGCTGTGATCATGTTTTATTTATTCACCAAACCACAGATTTACCTGCATTTTTTCCTTAAGTTATGATAATGTTGAGAAAATGTTGGTGACTGGTCCCAAGGCAATAGCTGGGAAACTTACACTCACCGGCCATTTTATTGGGTACACCTTGCTAGTACTGGGTTGGACCCCCTTTTGCCATCAGAGCTGCCGTAGTCCTTTGTGGCATAGATTCAACAAGGTACTGGAACATTCCTCAGAGAGTTTGGTCCATACTGACATGATAGCATCATGCAGTAGCTGCAGATTTGTCAGCTGCAGATTCATGATGCAAATCTCCCGTTCCACCACATCCCAAAGGTGCTCTGTTGGATTGAGATCTGACGAGTGTGAAGGCCATATGAGTACAGTGAACTCATTGTCATGTTCAAGAAGGCAGTCTGAGATGATTCAAGTTTTATGACATGGGGCATTATCCTGCTGGAAGGTCCATCAGAAGATGGGTACACTGTGGTCATAAAGGGATGGACATGCTCAGCAACAATACTCAGGTAGACTGTGGCGTTGCAACGATGATCAATTAATACTAAGGGGCCCAAAGTGTGCCAAGAAATGTTCCGCACACCATTACACCACCGCCACCAGTTTGAACCGTTGATAAAAGGCAGGATGGATCCATGCTTTCATGTTGTTGACACCAAATTCTGACCCAAACATCTGAATGTTGCAGCAGAAATTGAGAATCATCAGACCAAGCAACATTTTTCCAATCTTCTATTGTCTGATTTTGGTGAGTCTTTGTGAATTGTAGCCTCAATTTCCTGTTCTTAGCTGACAGAAGTGGCACCTGAAGTGGTCTTCTCCTGCTGTAGCCCATCTGTCTCAAAGTTCGATGAGTTGTAGGTTCAGAGATGCTCTTCTGCATTCTTTGGTTTTAATGAGTGGTTATTTGAATTCCTGTTACCTTTCTATCAGCTCAAACTAGTCAGGCCATTCTCCTCTGACCTCTGGCATCAACAACGCATTTTCACTCACAGAACTGCCGCTCACTGGATGTTTTCCCTTTTTTCGGACCATTCTCTGTAAACCATGGAGATGGTTGTGCGTGACAACTGCGCTGCGGTTGTTAGCACTGTTGCCTCGCAGCACGAAGGTTGCAGGTTCGAAACTCAGCTGCGGCCTTTCTGCGTGGAGTTGCGTGTTCTCCCCATGCATGCGTGGGTTTCCTCCGGGTACTCCGGTTTCCCCCACAGATCACAACATGCCCTATAGGTTATAAATTGTAAGTCGCTTTGGATAAAAGCGTCTGCTAAATGAATAAACATAAACATAAACATCCCAGAAGATCAGCAGTTTCTGAAATACTTAGACCAGCCCGTCTGGCACCGACAACCATGCCACTATCAAAGTCACTAAAGTCACCTTTCTTCCCCATTCTGAAGCTCGGTTTGAACTTAAGCGGATCGTCTTGACCCACCAGTTGCCTTCATGTGATTGGCTGATTAGTGTATTGCATTAATGAGTAGGTGGACAGGTGTACCCAATAAAGTGGCCAGTGAGTATGTTCTCATGTTGTAAAAAAAACTGACCCAAGTCATACCAAACTATATGAAGCTTTTGTTATATAGATCTATAATATAGATCAGCAAAATGTTGAATTCATGGGTGGTTTGAGTTGCTACAGCAACGGCCAGATTCGGCCAATGGCTTAGCAACCCCAACTCTTGAACCCCCCCCCCCCCCCCCCCCCCCTTTCTAAAATGTAACACAAGCTCATAAATCTAATTTGGAAAATACAATTAAATTACTTAAACAATCAGATTTATGACGTTATTGAGCTCATAAGTTACATAAGATTACGTGAATTGCATTTATGTCTCAGCCATTTAATTACACTTCTCTCTATAAGCCTCCTTCTGTGAGTTAGTAAGTAATTCAGTGTCCTGCTCAAAGGCACATGGGCTGTTACGCAGATTCGCTCATTTATTAGAAGGTTTGTTTTACTACCACTGAAAGAATCAGGACAATATGTGACTAAAACTGAAATTAGGAGAATAATCAGAATCTGATGATCTGCCAGAAGCCAAGTGGATTTATTTCTAATGTGGTGTGCAAACTTTTATCCACCTCCATTCTTCAGACATAACAGCAGACACCGCTCTGTCCCTGGATGGAACCGGCCGACTAGACTACTCCCTGAAGGAAAGTCCCAAACGTGACGTCCTGCTGAGACAATCGCTGCAGGGTGAGACATCCAGCGCTGTCGAACCCAGTAGCTTGGAGGTGAAGTTCAGAACACGCAGCAAGACCGGCACACTGCTGCACTTTCAGGAAAGCAGCAACTATACCACCATCAAGGTGAGCAAGGAAACAGCTACATAAAGTTTTCCAATGACCTGGACTTCTCTTTTGTTCTCATTCAGTCACACAGAACATGTGTTTAGTTCTCGGTTGTACCTTAAACTAAAAAACACACTTCACCCTCTGTCGCCTGAACAACCTCTGAGGAGTTAAGTCCTGCATGACTGATAAGCTATCGGCTAGTCTGCCTGTATGGTTGTTGTTGTTATTGTGTTTAAATAGAGTTAAAATCACATAGAACACCTAAACTAGGGCTATTCAAGGTAGGGGATCACAACCTCAATGTGGGTCTTTAAATGATCCTCAGAAATCACGTGAAACTGACAAAAATATTTTTTTATAAAATGTTTCTTGCCAATTTGTGTTAAAGCTAAAACTAATCATCAAATTAATATAGATAGTTTAAATCATTTAAGGCTGTTTGTTTATTTTGTAGAAATATGTTGCTGTTTGTGTTCATATTCAAGTCTTAGATATGAGGGTCGGGAGAGGAAAGCCACTGCTCTAAAGCAAGGCGGAACACTAAATAACCTTACTCACATTTGGGAGCAGAAACGGTTAAAACATGAAGAGAACATTCAAAGTTTGCCTTCCCTGTAATTAAAATTCAGAGTAATCCAACACAGGAAGTGGGTCGGACAAAGAACCTCAAAGTACTTCCAGCAAAACCCTCTAAAATTTCAGAAGAGAAACTTTTACTGATTTCGGATATCCTGGTCGGATATTTAAAGCTATGCAAACAGATGCATTTTTAAAATTGGAGTTAGTTTTTTTGAATCAGATAGGGTTAGGGTTAGACATTTATAATATATCAAAGCTCAAATAACAGGTTTTAAAGGTAAAGAGGACAATTCGTTTCAGGTTAAAGAGACTGTTGCTGCATAGGAAGTAAAACGTTTCCTGTTACTTTGAGTTAATTGAAAAATACTAGCAAAAAAAAATCAACAGCTTTCCAGATTCAGCTCTCATCGCATAATTTTACTCTGTAAAAGAAAGGTTTTCTGTTTGTGTTCTTCCTTCAAAAGAACAAAACGTCACAAGCCCTGGATGAGCACCTCTTCACGGTACAGCCAAGGTTGTGGTGTGCAACATAAGACGGAGACTGAACACAGACTTTAGAAAAATAAGAAAAATTAATGAAAGTTAAAGTTTTAAAGAAGCAATGCCAAAATAAGCACAGGAAGTCCCAATGCTTGCTTTTTCTCCTCATCAATTAGTCCAGTGAAGGCATTAAGCCACCCAAAGACTTCTGAAGGGAGCATTAGGTGGAGGAGTGAGTAACAGTTGTGATAATTCTGTCTGACATTCTTCAATTACTCAGACGTGAGTATAACTTGCAGCAGACGCAGCCAGAACCGCTCTCCCTCTTCCTTTTAGCTCCTAATATGATGGGTTTAGTCTAAACGATTCCCTGGAAAAGGCGCTACATAAAACAGCAGAGACGTGATGGATGCAGCAGTTTTACTTGAAGAGGACCAATAAGTTTTCTGATTCCCTTTGTTGCAAAGTTCGAACAACGAAACTCAGAGCAGCAGAAGAAAATTCTGTTGGGTAAAAGAATCAGCGGTAGCCGATGACGTGCTGGCTCGCTGAAGAGGTGTTTCATTTTGTCACAAAATGTTTCAACCACTAAATCTTGTGACTTTATTTTATGGGTCAAAAGGTCAATGGAAATCCATGGGTCAGGTTCTGAGAAAAGGACTGGACATTTGTGACGGAAGAGTAACTGTTTCCTCCTGAATATGTGTTGTCCATGTGAAATCAGACGCTGATCTGATTGGTCAGCTCTGGCGAGTCACCTGACAGGACACCTCGTTGTATCAGATGGAAGGAACGTTCGACATCATGTTTTAATAAGGAAAACAACAACAAAAATGTATTAATACACATATTAGACAGATTGGTCCTTTACATATAATCATTTTACAGTCAAGGGCCCACACATTTAGCTGGGTTGCTTACTCGTGTTTGTTTCACCCAAAGAACCAACCAAACACACATTTCTGTACATTTCTGTGCTGAGTTTAGTGCGATTTCTGGGGTAACCTTCACAACACCACCTATGTATCCGTCCATATCCATCCTCTTCCTCCCAGCACACCAGCAGTCATCACCACTCCTGTCTTCTTGTATAAACGTTAAAAAGCCTTTCACAGATCTTCCTCTGTCACCTCCTGCTCCTGTTTTTTCTCCTCTCATCCTGCTCAACACCTCCTTCCCTCTGACTGATCCTGGGCAGCTTCCCAACGAGGTCTGTACGTTCATTCATCGTCCTCAATTTTCCTTTCAGACTCCCTTCTTTCTCAGCACCAGCAGCCACTTCCCTCTGCAGAATGAAGCTTTCTAAGCTATGATTTGGTTTTCAGGCTCTGCACAGCTTCTGGTGCTCGTCAGATCAGCATGCAAGCTCCCTGAACTGTTCGGAAGATAATTATAAGATCCATGAAATAAAAGAGAGGGATTGGTGATGAATACACACAATGCATGTTAGGGGAACTATATAAAAAACAAGATGTTTAATAGATAAGTCCAGTGATCGGTTTTCCAGCTCTACAGAACTCTTGGCTCAAGGCACTTTCCCATTTTAAATCAATTCTTCCGGAAGCTACTTATCATTGCCGAGTTTTCTTTCTTTGTAAAGGGAGGAGAACAAGATTACTTTTCCATCAAAGTGGGAGAACACGAGATTACCATACACTGTAAAAGCCACAAACTTGTAGCTCACGCCAAAGAGAGATTTATTCATTTCCTTTAAAGGCACATTCTGCCCTTTCTGCTCTGCAAAACTCCATCTGAAGTTGGCATTGAGAGAGTTTTTTTTTTTGTCTTTTTGAGTTCGTTGTTTGCAGGTTTCTAATCATCTGGCTGAAACACACGAGTCGTGAGAACACGATGAAGTGCTGTTTGTCTCGACCGGAGACAGCTGTATTTTTGCTTTTGATCTCTGACCTCAGAAGCACAGTCTGAGTGCAGCGCGGTGGTGGCTTAGTGGAGACTCAGAGAACACTTCCTCTCATGGCTCACGGTTAATGCTGACATGATAACATGGCACATTAATCTAAGACACAGTCTTTGTTTACACCGCCTCGTCTCACAGAACATGACTCATCTCATGCCTACTTTTATGAAAAAGAACAGCATCTGAACACAGAGCTGATACTAAAGCCATTTGTCAGCGTAACCTCCTCTGATTGACATTTAGAAGTTTTGATGCCATTGTAATGAGACAAGATGTAAACATTTTAAGATTCTCAGTGAGTCATCGGTAAGTTACAACATGCCCGCCTTGGTAACGAGCACTCCTACCTCCGAGGTCAGGTCTGGAGTTTCTTATTTCATTAATAATGAATCTTTGCCCAAAGTTTCAGGAAAGTGATGAGAAACAAATTTCACCAGTTACAAACTCTGGGTCAAAAGGCGAAAACCATTCATTAAAGAAGAAATCTCAGACCTGAAACCATTATCAGGTTTTTGAATGCTTGCATTTGTGCCAGTTGTTAATTGGCTCCTAATTGGCTCTTTAGTAAACAAACTGTTTTAGTAAGAAAGTTTTTGGCAGGAGCATTTGAACTTCATCCAAACTTCACTAAAATTCACAACGATAGTCTTCAAAAATGTTTCAAGTCAAACAAGAATGTGTTCATACAAATAACTCAACACACTGATAAACTATGAATGTGATAAAATTATTGTTTGTTGTGTAGCCCAGGCTACGTTTTTTTCATTAGTTGACCAAATAAATTGGTTTTCATTGACAATAGGGAAGAAAACTGTCCAATAATTTTTATTTAATTTATACAACTTAATTTCAACTTCAGCAAACTACATTTTAAATAGCAAATTTCATCAAACAAATTTAATCAAACAAACTGGTTAGACGCTAAAATTGGAGCATCAATGCACCACTATTGCAGTTTGTTGTTGCAGGAATCTTTTTCAGTACTCTGCAGTTTTACAAGTCTGGTAATTCTTTGCTTTTGCAACAATCTACAACTGGTTATTTTGAACTTTCATTCTGGAAATAGGAATGTAGAATTTTTTTCTCTCATCTAACATTTCAACTTTAATCACAATATTTCTATTCTTGAAATTGGAAAATTTAAAAAACTAAAATAAATATCCTAAACTTATGCTTCCTTCATTGCCCAATGCATCACCAGAGCTCAGGCCTTTGGTCAAATGTGTTTTGGTAATAACTGATGCCGTGAACCATACAATATCTGGTGAAAAACACTGATACACATCTAAAGTTGACCTTTAATTCAGTGAACAACCCTCGAGTATTTAACCAAACTTCCATGTGTGTGTTTTTTCTTAGCTGAGGAACGGTAACGTCCACTACATCTCCGACGCCGGCGTCGGTGGGAAGGTGGAGAGGACCTTGGGAGATGTTGTCATTTCTGATGGCCAGTGGCACACACTCCTGCTGATCAAAAACGGCTCGTCCACTTTGCTTCAGGTGGACAGCAGCCATCCCAGAGTCATCCAGCACGTGACACAGGACTTCGGAGGTCTCAGTGTTCTGACCTTTTCGTTGGGAGGGATTCCTCCTGGACCTGCTCAGCTAAAAACTGGAGCAGGTAAAGTTCTCCCGTCTTTTTATTTTTTACCTAGAGTGTGTTATTTTAGCCCATAAGAGACTGGTGTGTGTGTGCGAGGCAGTGTGTGCACACGTGCGTGCGTTGGCAAGTATCTCACAAACTGCATTTTTGGTTCTTTTTTAAAACACAGAAAAGGTTTCATTTCTACCTTGCTGGCAGTTTCGTTTACCGGCTGTAAACTTCCTCAGAGCTGACGCTGATGGTTGCGTCACTTCCTTCTCCATTTAGCGTCAGCTCTGAGGAAGTTTACAGCCGGTAAACGAAACTGTCAGCAAGGTAGAAATGAAACCTTTTCTGCGTTTCAGGCCCTGTCCACACGTAGCCGGAGATCTGCCAAAACATAGATATTTTTCTACATTTTGGTCTGTCATCCACACGAAAACTGAGTTTTTTCACACGAAAACGGATCTTTTTAAAACCTCCGGCCAAAGTGAAGATCTGCGTTTTCTCCGTTTTGGGTGTCTGCGTGTGGACGGACAAAACCGGAGTTTTAAGGTCCGCAACGTCACTTTCCGCGACAAATAAAATGCTGACATCACGTGTGCGACCTGTGTTTACACTAGCCGACAGCATGGATGCCCTCAGAGCTGCGCTCGCTTTATCAATTGTCCAAGCGCTTTTTGCTTGTTTGTTTCTGCAAGCGGAATTACTGCTCCTTGCGGAAGACCACAGACGAAGGACGAGGTTAAGAACGGGGGAAGTACTGCCGCCTACAGGTCTGGCATGTCCTTAACAACGTATTTATCCGGGTACGTGTGGACAGAGTTTTTTTTAAAACCAGGTGGTGTGGATGCAAGTTTTTGGAGGGGCGGATATTCGTTTAAAAAAACCTGGCTACGTGTGGACTAGGCCTTAAAAAGAACCAAAAATGCAGTTTGAAACTAAACACAGCAAGAACATACCAAAGAAATATCCCACAAATTTCACAATGTCCGCTGCAGCTGATCAACATTTGCAAACACCATCATGGCAAAAACCAGAAAAATTAAACAGATCTTGAGCTACAGTTTGACTTGTTTTTAGATGTGAGTCATCCCCACACTTTGATAACTGATTAATCATGTGAGATCTTCTGATATTGCAACAAAAGACAGTCTTTCTTTAAGTCTCTGGCATGAAATAAAGCAGAGGGAGTAGACTGCTTTATGGAAAGCTCAGCCTTTAATAAACAGAACAGCATTCATATATTCACATCACATCTTCATCTGATCCCCCAGCCCATCAGCTTATCTTCCCCACTTTCCTGGTCTTCTTCCGTTTTAGCCAAAAGTTGTCTTGGTTCATACTACTCAGATGTCTGGAAACAGTAAATCTTGGCCAGGGGCTTTGTGATTTTGGTCCGTCACATTTCTCAGATTGTTTCAGAGCAGAAAAACAAAACCACCAAACAAATCCTAAATCCTAAAACAGGGTCTTCACTAACATCGTGCATTTAAGGTTTCCTGGTTGAAGGACAGATCAGATGTTTCATTCATGAGCTGCAGGATACATTCAAGAGCATGAAGATTAAGAAATGATAGCCCGCCACAGATGTTTTCATTAGAATACAGCTCAGACAGTTTGAAGTTCAAGTTCAGTTTACTGTTTTTCCCACTCGTGTTTAAATTGCAGTGGGGATAAAAATGAACTTCATCCTGTCAAAACAAATGCAAAATGATCGTTAAAACAGACAATAGCTGAGCAAAAAATAAAAAAAGCACAGCTAGCATCTCACATAAAAATATAAAAGACGTATGATTTAGATGTCAAAAAGCTCTTTAAAAAACAGCTTTTCTCTTCAAGAAAGAGACATGAAAATAGATGTCCTAATGATTAAAATGGCATGTCAAATGCTTCCCCAGTTATAAAAACATTTTTGTTGAAGATAATTTCATAATTGTATTTTAATTAATGTTAAAGTTACTGTATTGCCTCTAAAAATCCATTTATTTCTTCTCAAATGCTGATTCCTTTTTTACATACTGTCATGTATTTTTTTGAATGTGTAATTATGTTTGTTTTGAAAACCAACATCAAGAAAATATTGGTTTATATCAAAGCTGCAGTTTTGCTTTTGTGTGAAGCAAAATTATATTTATTTATGCTCAGATTGTGTAAAAAGTGCATATTGCTTCAGTAAATTACTACTGCAGAGCTTATTCTGCATTTTAAAGTGTGGGTTGTGTTAAACACAGCTCTCGTGAGCCTGCAGAGCCTTTAAAACTCACTACAGACGTTTTTTCTCAGATGGATTAATAGTTTATTTCCTGAACTGTTGAATATATTTACTAAGTGACTCTCCGAGACTCTATCAAACTGCTCTCATATTTTCTCTGAAGCTGCTGAGATTCATAAGCTATAAATTAAACATAAGTTGATTAAAAGGTTTTTGAATTAAATAATCATTCATAAACAAAATAACCAATATTAGTTGAATTCGACTTTATCTTGGAATGCTTTTAGGATTTTTTTTTCTACTTTTTTCCATCGCCTCTCCTCCTAGCTGGGTCTTAAATCACAGATCAGATGTCCTTGAGTTTAAGTTTTGGAAAAGGTGAACGAGAGGCTTTCCAGGAGGAGGTAATGCAGCACAGTAAATTTTAGGATTTCAAGGGAGGGAAAAAACAGGGCTTATACTATGTACTAATATGGTAAAAATGAGCCATTTGAATGATTTGTTGAGCTCTTTTACAAAGGGACCGTTTCAAAACAAACATATTCTCAGCACGCAGACCCGTGGCAGCCTGCCTGCTAACCAGCCTTTACCTCAGTGTGCGTCGGAACATTTGTGTTCTGTTGTGTGCTTGCTTCGCCTAAGTTAACGAAAAGACACAAATGGATTTAATCTGCAGCGGGATTAATTCAATAAAATTCTGTTTACATGAGTGAGGCAGTGCTGTTAGGCAACACACAAAGCAACGGACTGAATTAGACACAGACATTCATCCAATCCAGATGCATGTCTTCAAGCTATAATAGCTCTGACCACAGATTCTATTAGAACATATTTTAAAGCGTCCTCCTTTAAGGTTTCCATTGATGAATGCAGCACATTTTTTCCAGTGCCTACATTATGGGTTGCTCTGCATCAAGAACTGTAACCTTTATTATTTTGATTCAAAGCTTAAATCTATTACCCGTCTAAGCAAATGTTCTTCCTGCTGTCAGAGAGGAAAGGATCCAGTGTTGGAAGACATTTCTTAAAACAATCAGTCTGCAGCCAATCGGAAATGATTGTCCTTTGGGCTTCTGTTATGTCCTTGTAGACTGCTGTAAGCTGTTTCTTGTTAACTAAACATTTTTTTATTTGTGTATCTGCAGGTTTTGATGGCTGCTTGGCTTACGTGAAGTACAGAGGAGAGAACCTGCCTTTTACTGGAGAGCACAGCCTCGCCACCCTAACCAAGACCAGCTCATCTGTCAAGATCGGCTGCAGAGGTCCAAACTTGTGTGAGAGCAGCCCTTGTTGGGATGGCCTGATGTGTGTCAGCCAGTGGTACACATATCAGTGTGTACCGCCTGGTGACTGTGCCTCCAGTCCTTGTCAGAATCATGGCAGTTGTGTGCCGGATCCACATCTTGGGTTCACCTGTGTTTGCTCAGAGCTCTATACTGGCAAGACTTGTGAGACCCTGGTGGCCTGTCTGGGTGTACAGTGCCCTCAGGGTACTGTATGCAACACAGCTAGTGATGGTGGATTTGTCTGCAGTCCTAGCCCCACAACAGAGTCCATGGTACTTCCTATATGGGCAGTGCCGGCTATTGTCGGAAGCTGTGCCACTGTCCTTGCCTTGGTGGTTCTCAGCTTGATCCTGTGCAACCACTGCAGAGATCGAAACAAGACCAAGGTGCCAAAAGAACCTAAAGACAAGAAAATGAAGGAAAAGAAGAAGAAGAAAAAGAAGAAGGGTAGTGAGAATGTTGCTTTTGATGATCCTGACAACATCCCACCATATGGAGATGACATGACCGTGCGGAAACAGCCAGAAGGAAACCCAAAACCAGACATTATTGAGAGAGAGAACCCTTATCTGATCTATGATGAAACAGACATCCCTCACAACAACGAAACTGTCCCCAGTGCCCCCTGTGCCCCCTGCAATGGACCAGAAGCAGATATTGAACACTATGACATAGACAATGCCAGCAGCATCGCACCTTCAGATGCAGACATCATCCAACACTACAAGCAGTTCCGTAGTCACACACCCAAGTTTTCCATTCAGAGGCACAGCCCATTGGGTTTTGCCAGACAGTCTCCTTTACCTCTTGGAGCAACAAGCTACACCTACCAGCCTCAGTACACACAGGCACTAAGGTCCACTCCTCTCAGCCACTCCCACTCAGCTTGTCCCACGCCGAATCCTCTCTCCAGACATTCCCCAGCTCCATTTACCAAACCCTCCTCCTTCTATCGAAACACTCCCACCAGAGAACTAAACTTGGCTCGACGGGAAGGTAGCCCAATGGATATGCACAATGAAATGTGCCAACCACCACCCATGTTCAACTATGCCACCCGGCTGGGGAGGCGCAGCAAGAGCCCACAGACAATGGCCAGCCATGGCCATGTCTCTCGGCCGAGCAGTCGGTTGAAGCAGCCAGTTGAGCAGATCCCCCTGGAGACGGGACCTCCAGTGGGGCTGTCCATTGAGGAGGTGGAGCGGCTCAACACTCCACGCCCACGAAACCCTAGTATCTGCAGTGCTGATCATGGTCGGTCCAGCTCAGAAGAGGATTGCCGTAGACCACTGTCAAGGGTGCGCAACCCTGCCGATGGCATCCCTGCCCCAGAGTCCTCCTCAGAAAGTGACTCACATGACTCCTTTACCTGCTCAGAAATGGAGTATGACAGAGAAAAGCCTGTCTCCTACAGCTCCCGAGTTCCCAAGCTGTCTCAAGTCAATGAGTCAGATGCTGATGATGAGGAATATGGTGGAAGGCTGAAGCAGAGGCGGTACTCGAGTCGACGGGCAGAAGGAGGGCCCGGCCAGATGCCCACTACTGAGCAGCACTACACCCTGCCTCACAAACTGGGCCAACAGGCCGGGGGCTTCAACTGGGACAATCTTTTGAACTGGGGCCCCGGGTTTGGACAGTATGTAGATGTGTTTAAAGACTTAGCTTCGCTTCCTGAAAACTCAGCAGCAAAAGACATTGAAATGAACAGTGGGGACGGCTCAGTGACCATTCTAAATGAAGGAGAAGCTGAGCAATATGTATGAGACTATTTATTACAAAGTTGTAGGATTTAATGACGTTCTCCGTTAACGAAGGAAGACTGTAAATTTTGGAAGAACTTTGAACTTTGTTTTTGTGAATACTCAATAAGACGACTTTCAATGCAGTAAGGCAGAAAAAAAAATCACACCTGTTACTTGTCAGATCTCATCATTGACACCTTGGATTGCTTTACCAGTCTTTTCTATGTTTAACTTGTAAAAAGGTGCATTCATTCTCTTTGAGGCCTATTTAGTGCAGATCTCTGAACACTAAATGTCTCCTTAAAAACTCCCTCAATTCATCATCAAAGCTTTTTGTTCTATAGTATCAAAAATTAATCTTCAATGTAGAAAAAGCTACATTTAAAGCTGAGAGATCAGAAAGTGGGTAAAAATATCAGTGGCATAGGAAAACTCTGTATTTGTCTTTTAATGGCCCTTTTTAATTAACCTGCTAGGTTTTATTAGACAGACACAACTATGTGAACTTTACTGGTTTGCATTCTGCAGACTTCTTAGGATCTGATCCCATCCATCTTACTTCTTGAAGACTGGCTAAAGGCTCCCAAAGCGAGAGGTAATCGAGTCTTCTGCCTTATAGACATTGGAGGATTCGATACAGAAGAGCACTTTATCTTCTCCGTCTTTTTCTGGTCTGAGGAGATAAGTTTTACTGTTTGTTATTTTAGGGGAGGGGTAGTGTTTGTTATAAATCTTGCATTAACATTCTCTGACCACAGTGATGATCCTGTAAACATGAACCCAACTAAAATATATGTACATTTGTTTCTTTTATTTCATGAGAAATCATGGAGTAATTTGTCATGTTCATTATTTTGATGTGTATGGTTTCTACATTTTTGTACTGTTTATTAACTTAAAGTACTTAAGCAGTGTTTTTATGGATATTTTCATATGCTGAAAAGTACGATCTTACTTTCAGGGAAAGTAAGATTGATTACTTATTTTTTACATTTGTTACATATGTAACATCAGTATTTTCCACTTTTGATAAAACTATAACTTGCTGTATGCTTTGTACCTGTAAAAAGCTATTAACAGAATAAAAACAGTATTTATTTAAACTTACGGTGGTGAGCTCGTCATTCTTGCTAATTGATGAAAGGTGAAGGATGTATTTTATTGAAACTCCTTTTTAACATTTGGAGTCAACCACAGTCAAGGTGGCAAACACAGCTGTTTAAACTAATCAATATACAAATGTCTTTAAAGGCCAAGTTCACTGAGAAGCAATGTTTTAATTGTTCTCTTTTTTTAAATTAGCAACTCCACATCACGTCTGAACACCTTCAGGCTGGTGTTATATGTGGAGAAACACATCAATGTTGCAAAGCAAGTAGAGTCAGTGAGTGTGTTTACATATGCATCCAAGTTGATCTACGTCAAGCTACAGCAATAAACCGGGTGGCTTCATTTTAGTTTACATGTACGTTAGAAAGCCATACCCTCAAATGAAGTGCATCAGCTGTAGCCTTGCTGAGATGTCCAAATATCAGAAAATAAGACTCCAAATCCTACGGTCTTCTGCTTCTCTCTGCTGTAGCACACTTCTACTTCCTGAAACAGGAGAGCAAGAGCTTTATTCCACACAGATTGGCTAAAAAAAGACCAATGTGTTGAAAAACAAGTGAACGGGGGATTTAAATCAGTAATTTCTATAGATATTTAGTTACGCACAGCACAAGCAAAGAATCATCCTCAACATGTACTACAAGTGAAAGCAGATTCAGTGAAATTTTGCAATGTTGCATGAGATAGTTTTTTTTTAAGGTTGACTTAAAATGTCATAACATCATGTCTCCACATAGTTTGAAACTCTTAAGAATGAATTCCTCCAAAGAGTATTAGGGCATGAATATAGCTAGAATTAGTCTATATACATAATTTAATCTTTTCCTAATTTATTAACAGTTATTTCCTATCTGAAATCTTGAATTATGCAGATTCTCAAGAAACCATTTTAAAAAGGTATTTTGGGACTAACATGAAACTGAGCCAGCTTTCTCAAAGCCAAACCAAACATCAGGTTAGCTGCACAATGCAGAGTCCACAAATGCTTTCAACAATAATTTACATCCGGTTTACTGAAAAAATGAAAATAAAAAGTTTGCTTTGATTCTCAGATATTGTGCATGCAACATGTTTATCTCTATCATTGAGGGCTGGAATAAAGACCAACCAAAGAGCATTAGCGTGAATCTGGACGAGCGTCCTGCAGATCGAAGTCACTGTGATGCTGAGAAAATAACACAAAGATAACAAGGGACTAGGTGGGAGGTAAGGGTCAGTCAATAGGAGACAAATTCAAATAAACTTCACAGCTTCTTCTCTGGCGTGACATGGTGAGATTCAAAAGAAATCAGTCAGCCCCCCACCTCCTCTCTGTTAGTGCACGGGAGAAGTTTGTATCCACAAAGGGCACATTGTTCTGCACCGTGTGCAGACAGTTCATGAGGGCTGACATGAATTTGTCTGATTTTTTGGGTGTGTGTTTGGGATCATCTAAGAGGTGCTCCCCCATTTCCCCTTTTCTTTTTCCATTAATGCTGCTACTGGATATTTTCCAGATGGCGGCTTGAGTTCACCAGATCGTAGGAGACGTTATTATGTGTTCAAGGATTAATTGCAACATATATCCGTAAGAGCAAACACTGCACGTTCCACCATGTGGCACTGCCCTGACGATCATCCAGCACATGTTATTTCACTAAACAGTAAGCTATTTGTGTAAGTAATGACACAGAAACACAGTAGGAAAACACGGAATTAGAGTTCCCATTTAGGAACGTCAGGAGAGATGCAGTTTGCAGGGCTGCACATTAACTTATTCATCCTGAATGAAGGTATGAAAAAAACTGAATCAAGTTTCCCACAGAGGACCTTTTTTCATCTGACTTTGCAAGTGTCATCAATACTTCATTCTCATTGGAACAATTGCCATTATGATTAGAGTTTTATTTTCTTCGCTTTTTTCAAAGAATACGTTTTCCCTCCGACAACAACAACAACAACAACAAAACATGCCAAAACTCGATTAAAAACAGTGATTAATTTGAGCTTTAGTGTCTGTTCAGCTTCATTAGCTCCTAATCAAAAGTTCGTTTGTTACTGGATCCAAAAGTCCCCTTCAGTTCCCTGATGTCACAGTTGATAGTGTGTGATCATCAAGTCCAGATAGTATCTAAGGCCTAGTCCACACGTAGCCGGCTTTTTTAAAAAACAAATATCCGCCCCTCCGAAACTTGCATCCGCACCACCTCGTTTAAATAAAATACTCTGTCCACACGTACCCGGATAAATACGTTGTTAAGGACATGCCAGACCTGTAGGCGGCAGTACTTGCCCCGTTCTTAACCTCGTCCTTCGTCTGTGGTCTTCCGCGAGGAGCAGTAATTCCGCTTGCAAAAACAAACATGCAAAAAGCGCTTGGACAATTGATAAAGCGAGCGCAGCTCTGAGGGCATCCATGCTGTCGGCTAGTGTAAACACAGGTCGCACACGTGATGTCAGCATTTTTGTGTCGCGGAAAGTGACGTTGTGAACCTTAAAACTCCGGTTTTGTCCGTCCACACGCAGACACCCAAAATGGAGAAAACGCAGATCTTCACTTTGGCCGGAGTTTTTAAAAAGATCCGTTTTCGTGTGAAAAAAAAAACTCCGTTTTCGTGTGGATGACAGGCCAAAACGTAGAAAAATATCTACGTTTTGGCAGATCCCCGGCTACGTGTGGACAGGGCCTGAATCTGTGTCTAATTCAGGAACTGAGGGGACGTACAGGGGCAGAGCGGGAGGAGCTGGACACTAGTATTTCTAAACTGATCCTTTCTGGTTGTCTTCAAACTTTTTACATTTTTTTTAAACATGACTAGCTGTCAGCTCACATGTCCATTTGTATGTAATCTATTTCTCCAAACTGAGACCATTCAAGAAACTTCAGAATTGTCAAATGTCACTTTAATAATTTCTCTAATTGTTTTAATGATACTTTGTTTGTGTGGCGCTAAGCTCACAGAGCCTTGTTAAATGTAAATATGACACAACACATCAGATACTGTATAAATTCACTGACATCACCCAGACAGGGGTCAGGTGTTGCAGGATTCACACCTCCACCCCCTACCTCCCCAGCCCCAGACATCTCAGCTTCCACCCATCACTGACAGCATCCTTGTTTGGTTCTGGATCTCATGCGATAGATGATTGCTTCGTCCTCAGACGGATTTTTTTAATATGTGAAACAACATTACAAATTATCACCCAGTCTCAGGAGACGTCTCTGTATCACATCTGCATGAAAGCTGCGATTTCCTTGTGATAAGTGCTTTTTAATGCCGTGTGTACCATAGCCAGATAATGCTTCTCAGCAACATGAAAGCTTCTGCAAAGAGCTTCAAAAGATCAAAGGGAAAGATAAATGTGTGTACCTCTGTGTGAGATCAGTGATCACGGTCCCAACTCTGGAAAAACTGATTTTTAGCTCTGTGGAAAATTGCAGTTCAACTCAGGTTTGGAAATTCTGGTCAGCACCAGACCTTTGTAAGATGGACCTTGCTGCCATGAGAAATCTCTCTGAGAAGTTTTGCAGTGACGACACATCTGTTTCAGATCCAGTGTGTGAGACCGCTCTCTCAGCAAAAACATTTTGTTCTTTGATTTGAGGGATACTGCTGACTTAAGTGATGGTGAAATCACTGTGTTCTTGTTTGTGTGGCTGTACTTTGACACAGTGAGATTCTACAGCTATCTTTCATATCTTTATTTTAAAGTTTAAACCTAGAAAAAAGCTAAATTTAGTTTCCCTGTCAGTCATTTTAGCCATTTGTTTGAAGGGACACAAGTTGGCAATTTGTTTTAAGCCCCAAATTCAAGGGATAATCCATCGTAGTGCTCAAATTATTTGTTTGAATTAATGTCTTTGAATATCTCAGCAGTGTGCAGTGCATACTACTGGAAATCAGACCAGATCCAGGTTAACATCACCCTGATCAGTAATTCAAAGAGAAAAGTTATGGCATTTAAAATTACATTGAAAAAAATAACAGAAATGTCCAACAGTGAACATGTCAGAATTACAATCAAGACACAACAAAGAACATCAAGGATTAAATGGTGTTCAAAAGCTGATAGCTAATGACAAACAGGTGTGCTCATTAGTGAATGACAACAGGTGTGTCAAGAGATGATGCAGGAAGAATAAAACCAAGGAAAAACAAATGAAAATCATGAAAAATTCACTCAACTTCTTCACATCTTTTATATATTTAGAAGGTATTAGAAAATATCCATCTTCAAAATCATAAATTATTGAAACTGTTTGTTTCATACGGAAAGTGTCAGATTGTGAAAATTTCATCTTTAGGGGTATTCCTCCCTCAAGTGAAATTCAGTCTGTTGCCATGTTCCCCAGAGTTAAATAAGTCTGGAAAAGCAGTTTGTTACCAGCTCAGTCATTCTCTATTTTGTTAGCTTTAGCTTAGCATAAACAATGTAAGTGAATGGGAACAGGTAGAATTTTGTGTGGACAAGTCATGAAATTATTGAATGATCTAAATGTTTCAATCGACTGTACATCATAATATAAATATGATCATTTAGCATCAGTGGGAGTGTTTATTTCATTCATAACACTTTGTAAAAATAAGACACAACATGCCTTTATAAACACCTCTGGAAAAAAGAAAACGTAGCGAGTGGGTGTTTGTGTAAAGGGAACTAGATTGATATGAGAAAGCAACATATTCTTGGTGATCAGCTTTAGTTTTAAACCAAAAAATGCATTTTTTGGCTCAGTTACAGTAACCCCTATTTGTCACGTGACCACCATCATCATCATCATCATCATCATCATCATTTTGTTTGTAGAACACTTTTCAGACAATTCAAAGCTGCCACAACAATCATAAAAGCACAAAGACAGCAAATCATCATGTTAAAATAAGGGACCAATGAAAAGACAACCTAAAAAATAACGACATTGAAACAACACTATTAAATGGCAGTCAGTGGTTAAAAGCCTGAAAAAAGTATGTTCTAAGTCTTGATAAAAAAAACACAAGATTATAAATAAT